TGTGTCCGTTTGAGCCCAGGTCTCTAGAGGGACCTGGCCAAGCCGACTCCCGCCAGACACTTGGTGCAAATTCGCATCAGGATTATTCGTCCCCAGTTTAGGATCCCCCCCCGCGCGCTCCTGTGTGACAGGGACAGCCACGGCTCAGCGAGCGCCTCGGAATTAGCTTGGCACTATCGATCCCCCATTTTCTCCTGGCTAATAAATAAGCAGCGGCTGGAAAAGCGAGCTGGGGCCCGTGGCACGTCCTCAGCACCCGCCTCCCGAGCCCCGCAGTGCGTGATCCACCCGAGCGGGGCTGGGGGGAGGAACTACGGGGGAGCAACTCACCCCATTGACGCTGCCAGGAAGAACAGAAGTGTTCCCATCTGTGCCCAGCACCACGGTGCTCTGGCTCATGGGCACCCAGCCGCCTTTGGCATTGTTTTGCTCCAGCGTGCTCTTCCCAAGGCTCTGATTAGCTTCCCCATCTAGGCTTTGCAAAGCGGGGATTTTGCAGTGGGGGATCGGGGCCGAGCCCGTGGGCCCCGCGCTGAGGATGCTCTTGAGCGGACAGGTCTCAATAGGATCCTTGCGGAGGGTGGCGTTGGCTGGCCCAGAGCTGCTGCTGCTGAGCTTGCAGATCCCAACTTTGGTCCTCTCCAAATCGTTTGCCTTGGCTTCTTCAGGGGAAACAGGTCTGCTGCCAGTGGAGGCCTTGGTCAAGGGGCACGGGGCCTGCGGAGGGAGGCTCTGCTGCTCATTTTCAGGGCTGAGGCTTGTAATTCCTGCGCCTTCAATTTGTCCAGGAACAACTGTTTCGGAGCCGTCCGCAGTCAGCTTGTTCATATCCTTTTGACAGGCGTAATCCTAAAAGGACAACGTCACATACTTTACCAAAAAAACAACAAAAAACAAAACCCCAAACCTTCAATATTTCACAAAAAACACTATGCGGACAGGGGCACGGGAGACAATTTTGCTGGTCTGAAGGCTTCGCGGTGTCTGCCATGTGCCTGGCCGTCTCCAGTCCTTATTCAAAACGCTACGGCTCGGGAAAGATCATACAGAAGGCCCCAAAGCCATGTATTAAAAAATAGCCGAGACTGCAAACCTGGAAAGGGAGTTTTAGATAAATGTTCCCGCAGCCCTGTGCCTCCAGCCCTTGTTAGATTTCACATCACGGCTCCCGGATGCTCCCTTCCCCTAGCCCTATTGTAGAAAGATTCTTTAATTTTACGCCCCATTTCCTTTCTGTCATTCAACAATGCAGATTGGCTTTTTTTTTTTCCATAGGCAATAGACAAGCTGCCCTGTAGGCAGCCGGAGAAGCTAGCACCAAAGCGAATAGCATGGGCTAGCATTGCCGGTGTCCCCAGTAAAGTTGCAAGGAGCGATCCAAACACTGACAGCAACACAATGGGACAAGGCAGCCTTCTCCAGTACAGCACAGGATTCAGTGCAGCATTATGCTAAAAATAGTCTGAGTTTCTCGGTTCCTGCCCTTCTAAAAGACCTAAGTTTCTTCCTTTTTTTTTTTAAAAAAGGAGCCAACAGGCTGCTGCGTTAAATATGCCTGGTTCCGAAAATGCAAGCTCACCCATTTAAACAGTCCTGGGGAAAAGGCGAGATCCTTTCTGACCCAGTGTCATTTCAAAGGAAGAAAACTACCCGATGCGGTTTCCTATGTATGCTTTCCTCTTATCTTTACCAGCCCACAGTATCGGCAAATGCATATCTGCACAGGACTCGATAGCAATTTTACTCCACCCCTGAAGCACAATACTTGCCCCAGCGCCTTCTCTTCCTGCCTCAAGGAAGCTAGATCTTACAGGAGAGAGCTTTCGTCTACAGGCGTTGAGAGCTTCTTTTCAGCACCCTGGACAGCAGCTCCCACCTGAAACCAGATCCCCGCCGGATCCGAAGGACCTGAAGTCCTGCGTAAACCTAACACCACAAACCACACGAGCAGAGCGCAAAGCCCGGTCTAAAGATGAACTCTCCCCTTCCCCAATACCTCCACCTCCCAAAGACCGAAAAGCAAACACTTACCATGCCTGAAACAGCAACAGATTGAAGCGGTTAGAGGTAAAAAAAAACAACCCAAAAAAACAAAAAACCAGCCGGAGAGGCAATGGATAGACTGGATTTTGCTCAGCCGAGAGCAAAGCTTTCTATACCTCCTTGGGAAAGACTGGGTTTGCGTCAGTGCATAGCAAGGTGCCCTTCCTTTGACATTTTCTTGATAATAAGAGTTTGATAAATCATTACCCTTGGATTCCGATTTTAAAGGGACAACAAGAAGCCAGAGCGCCGGCTAGCTGTCACTCAGGCGGGAGTGGGCTTGCGTGTTCCGTGTGACTCATATGGGGCTGATTACTAAACCAAACCCAGCAAGAGCGGAGCACAACTTTCTTGCTGGTAATTAGGAGGAACATGTGAGAAACACGTCCTACTGCACCCACAGCCCAGGAGCCAGGACGAGAAGGTTTTCATCTCCCGCTCTCAGTTACGATGACTGGGTTTGATCCAGCACGCGGTATTTCCTCGTGCCTGGACCTCTGCAACTGGCTATGAACCCAATGATCAAACCCCATCATTTCATATACACAATGCACCGGTATGTTAGCACGTTGTGTGCGTGTATTTATACACACCAGGATGCTTATTCAAGGACCAAGCCATATACAGGAATGCTGGTGGTTTCTCTTCCACCTCCATTTCAGCCACAAGGCAACATTTTCACTTGCTTATTACAATTGAGCCTGGGGAGGGGGGGCGCTAAATAAGCTAATCACAGCGACATAACACAAAGCGAATCCTCTCAATAAGAAATATTCCTTTCAATCAAATCCAGCTGCCGTGCAATTGGGAAGGGTGGGGGGGCGCAAGCCGTTTCCAATACAGTGTTAGATGTTCCTTTCTAAAACAAGACGAAAACTCTTTCCAAACCAGGGGATCACGTTGGTGACGGGATTGATTTTGCAACGAAGCAATCCGCCAAGGCGCTGCGTGATCAGTTCGTTGCTATGGGGGAGTTTCATACATTCATTGAGCACCAGATAATATTGTTGGGAACTTTAGGAATAAAAGATGGAGCTTCTCTCCATCATGGCCCTTGATAATACCTTCGCTTTAAAGCTGCATATTTCTCCCCGTCTCCTCCAGAAGTTATTTTAGATTTCAGTGTCACATCAGTCTACCAACGGTATATGCCTGTTAGTATATCCTGGGACAAAGACCCACTTAGCGTGTCCTTTCTTTTACAGAGTACTAGCGCGGATTTCAATGGAGAGGCTAATTTGACCATGTTCATTAGCCTGCATGAGGTTGAAGAGTTACCTTGCGCCATAAACACCCCAGCCAGGTGATTTAAGAGCTCATCTGCTCTGCCCAAGAGCTCCAGGCAGCAACCCAAGCCTTTTCCGTGTGGCTGCAGGGACTGCTCACCACAGTTATAACTCAACTCGGGTCCGTGAATTAGCCCTTGTCACTGCTGCTGGAGGCAGAAGTTCATCTTCAGGATTCATCCGTTCAAAGCAAAAGGAGCGTGGGGCCAGCGGAAAAGAAAGAACAGATCATCTTGTTTTTCTCCCCCAGTGGAAAATGTTATCACGTCCAGACACTGAAAAACGCAACTGCCTTGCAGCAGAGTCTCAAATAATTTAAACAGAAAAGAAAAGAAAAGAAAAGATCCCCCAAATCTCTTGCTTGCTTTTTTTTTTTTTTTTTTTTGTATTTTGTTTGTTTGGTTTTTTGTTTTGGTGCTATTTCCTAAAAAACACATGAAAACTGATATCATAGACACACACCTAACATAGCCACACGCACACACATTTATTATCCGTATGTGCACACTTGTAGATGCACTGGTTATTTATTTAATAGCCATGTTTTGTTTTGTTTTTATTTCCCCCCTAATTAGAGAGAGAGAAAGCAGAACTATTGGGAAGCTGCTCCGATTTTATTTTAAAAAGATCAGCTTCGCTGTGAGATTTTTTTTTCCAGTATTTTTTAACATTTATTTTCAGCTTAAAATAGTCCGTTCAGAGGCAGGGAGCTGAGGATGGTTCTTAGTTCACTTACATTTCCCCTAAGATTATAGTAATACCTTTAAAAACAAGGTCCATATTAACAGCCATCAAGCCAAGGAGTACTTTGGTTAGAGAGGGTCTTTTTCGACAGCTTCCCAGATAGATTCGGGGTTTTTTTTCCCCGGGGGCTAGAATTCATCATTGAAATCCTATTGAAGACCCATCCTCTTCTGTTTGAGCAGCGAAGAAGTACCGGAAAGAAAACTGACCTCAGCTTAGAGAAGAAGGGGCAGGAAGCTTGGAGTGGAAGAGGAGAATATTTCGGACTGGAAATTTGTTTCGTGCCAAAAATGATGCGACGGGTGGAAAGCGCTGAAAAAGAAAGAAACTTTCCCAGCAGGAGGGTGGGTTGCACGTGAAAAAAAACGGATCCCACCGCGGCTGCAAGATACACACACAATTAAGGCTACCAGGGAAAGCCATGTAGAAATGCACCTTAGGGGTTTCCCGCATTGTCCAGATACAGCAGTGCCCAGTTCTCATGGCGCGGCCAAGCCAAGAGTCAGACACAACTTGCCCAGCATCATCACCACACTGACTGCTCTGCCCCACGACCAAAAACTAATTCGTGGACGCTTTGGCTTTCTTTGTAACACTGTTTCTCAACCCGTGGGTTGCAAGAATATATGAAAGGGTCGAGAACAAGCTTTACAAATGGATCAACAAACTTTAAAAACCGATTTTCCTTTAAAGTGGAAAAAAAAAGGGAAACCGTGGGTTTTCCCTTGCAGGCGGGCACAGTACCAGCCTGCTTGGCGCTGCTACCCCTGCCCCACACACTGGGGGGCTGAGGTCTGGGGGCAGTGGGTCGGGAGTGAGGGCTAGGGGGGCTGTTTTCTATTTAAACTATTTACTGGGTCGGGACTGACCATGGGTGTTCGCAAATTGGCCCTGGTACAAAAAAAAAGGTTGAGAACCACTGCCAGGGTTACAATTTCTGTGGCACTGACATGGCTTTGCTTCCTTGGGCTCCAGGTTTTGATCCCTAACTTCAGCCGACAGATGGGAGGCAGGCGCAGATGTGTACAGACATCTTAGGAATGGGCATCGCCACAGCCCAGTAGCCAGCTCGCTCCATGCCCAGCTTCCTCCCGTTCACGCATCTCTGCCCTTGGCAGGTGCCAGGATCTGGCAGCCGTGTGCCTGCTTGGCAGTGCCCGCGGGCCTGAAGCCGGGCTGCCTGCTGAGTGCCCGAGCGAGGACGAGTTAAGGACTCTGACGGGCAATGCTTGGATGACGGGCTGGCTTGTGGCTGCGGCCGTCACGATCATGAGTGGGCGGCGGGCATCAGCATTTACCTACGG